TAACCCCACTGACAGATAAACAGAAACTTTTCCTACTAGATCGAAAACTGGGAGTCTTAAAATTTGACTTTCCCCTTAAGTCGTAGCCCCCTCTCTTTTCAGAAAACCTTTTCTGTATATTGCCAGGCAATAAATGTTTCTAGCCTTCAACGTAATTACTATCTGTTTGAAATTCAACTAGATCAAGTAGTTTTAATGCTTTAGACTGTAAGATTAATGAGTTGGTGTGTTCCAAATATCCAGTGTTATGAATTATTCTTATTGCTAAGTATAAATAACGATTGCAATGAATTTTGATATACGGTAACACCAGCGAACAATACGTAATGTGGAGTGATCTGGAATCTAGAAGGTGCCAGGACTGAAATACTTCTAGGCACTTTTGTTTGGACATGTTTTATGTCCCGCAAATCTTGTCGTCTATAATCACTCCAAGGAATTTCGTTTCATATACTCTTTCTGTATTAACACCTTTGATCTGTAACTAAACTTGATTGATTTACAATTGCCAAATATCATGAATTTAGTTGTGCTCAAATTTAATCATCACTTCTTTGTGTCAAACCACTGTTTTCTTTTTCTGAATTCTGAAGTGATTAAGTCCAGAAGTTGCTGTAAATTCTGACCAGAACCAAAGATGTTTGTGTCGTCTGCAAATAATACAAATTTGAGTAGTTCAGATCCTTTAAATATGGCGTTTATGTAGAGGAAATCATTTTGGTCCCAACACTGACCCCTGGGGGACACCACACGCAATGTCCAAACATTCAGATGTATAATCTCCCAACTTCACAAATTGTTTCCTGTCTTTTAAATAACTGCTTAACCAATTCAGCTCTATCCCCCTGATCCCGAGCCTTTCCAGTTATTGATTAATATTTCATGATTAATTGTATCAAATCAATGAATACCCCAACCACAAATTGTGGCAGTAGAGAGACAGGCCTGTGATTTGTGAAGTGGTGTTCAGTTTGGAATGACAAATTAAAGATCCCCTCAATTACATTTTTTACTATCTTCATATCTATTTCGTTACAGTCAGTGGATGCTTTAGTTTGTAACAGTGTCTATTATTTCTTTTCCTTCTACTGCTTCAAGAAACATTGAACACTGATTTCTTTCAATAAGATCATTCTATCCGTGGCATAGGGATTAAATCTGGTCCAACATTTGCAAAATATTTATTAAAGTTACTGACCACGTCCTCCACGTTATTGATGTTCTTTTCATTACCAATGAAATACTGGGGATAATTAGACTGTCTCGTGCCCCTTCTTATAATACGGTTTAGTATATTCCATAGACCCTTCATATTATTTTATTATTATCTAATAGTTTGCTATAGTATTCTTTCTTACTTAATTAACTTATTTTTACATTTCTTATATTGATTTTCTGTGTTTAATAAATTTTCTATAAAGTGTGTTTTTCTTTTTACAGGCATTTAGTAATCCTTTTGAAATCCACGGTCTATCACTATATTTTTGTTTTCTGCAATATTTTTTATCAGGCAATTCTTATCATATAATAATTGAAATATTCTTAGGAAATCACCATGTACTCTAGCAATATCTTTTCCCCTATCTATTATTTCCCAGTCTTGTGAAAGCAGATCATCTTTACATGCAACCATAGACTCTTCTGTTCTGACCCGTCTGAAAAGAGCTTTGTTGTCTTTTTTTAGATGTGTAGTTGTTGTTGTAAACTGTAAAAGCTTGTAGGTGCTCACTGATGTCATTTATTAATAGTCCACTCACTGTATTGTTATCTACGTCATTTGTAAAAATATTATCAATTAATGTTGCACAGTGGGAAGTAATCCTGCTGGGTCTGGTCATTTTGGGGGAAAAGCCCAGACTATACACTGTATTGATAATATTGTGCTTGTTTGGATTTAGCAAATCAGTGTTGAAATCCCCACAGATGAGCATGACTTTCTGTAAATTTTCCTCCATCCAATCCTTAAATAAATCGATATTAGAAGCTGGTGATCTATAGATGCAGCTTACAATAACATGTTTCTTTTTTCCCTGCATAGTTCTAGTGGAACACTATTCAAGTAAATCATCCACCACTGTAGACATTTTTTGCGCCACCTTGTAATTAAATTTCTCGTCCTCCCCCATTCTTGTTTTCTCTGTTAATACAAAACATTTCATTTCCTTTCATTTCAAAGTCTGAGCCCTTTTCACTCTTTATCCAAGTTTCAGATATAGCAATTATATTGACAGGCTGTTTGAACTGATTTAGACAACATTTAGTGTTGTGAAAGTTAGGATTATTGATAGTTTTCAGTCTAAACTGAACTATTAAACTGTTCATTAGTGTAATAATAGCAATTGCTGGGGTGTTTATAGGATCAGTATCATTTTCCACGTCCTGTGAGTGATGATCAGTGTACTGAAGATGTTCAGCTCTTGTTTATCATCATCAACAATCCTCTGTAGTAGTTGATTAGCTCTGGTAGGTGTGTGACTTGTGAAAGATACCTGGTTGGAGATGAAATATTTCTTGGTGTACTGGACCGGGGATGGATGACCGGTTTGTCATTGTCATTTCTTGGTTAAATGCTGTCCAGTATTTTCACGATTGTGTCTAACAGCTGTTAACAGAACTGTTGACACACAGAGCCACACGAACACTGAGGTGAAGCGGCAGCAGGCTGATGGTGTCACCGGTTTGCTACAGGTGAACTCCTTGTTTCTTTTCCTGCCAGATATTTGATAAGTCATCTGACACCAGGGGTGGATGAAGTACACAAAGCCTGTACTTGAGTAACAGTAGCAGAAGTAGCAGAAGTAGCGAGGCTGCGGCGCGATCGAGGCTGTGCAACAGACTTTGAGCTGGGTTTTCTCTTTCTTGGTAGGCGTGTCGGAGGCGTTGCCCAATGAGCGCCGGCGCAGTAAGAGGCAGAGTGCCCGTCCTGATGAGAAATCTCAGGTGAGTCTCTTAATGAGCTGAATTAACTGGAAACACGATTAACGAGCTTGTTGGCAGGAAATTTAATTACACTTTCAGACCAATCAGATGTCACACTGCTGTCGTCAGCCAACCAGAGCCAGCGGGGGGTGGGGCCTCCTGTGATTGGTCCACACAAGGACAACGAGGTGTTCACTTCCTGCTGAACAACGTGACGTCGTCACAGTTCTGAGCGGAGTGTGTGTGTCGCTGTAAATCACTAAATCAGATTATTCACGCCGGCTTATCAAAAGCAGATGGGCTCAGTCTGCCTCTGCTACAGCGAACAGCGTCCTGACAGTAAACGCTTATTACCTTTTCATAACTGTTGCTTTTAAAGGTCTTTGTTTTTAATCCTGCAGCAACGGATGATAAAGATCTCATTAGAATAACTATTATGTTTTTAAATGGAGGATTATTCTTGTAAAAACGAGTTTCTTGTTTGTTTGTTCTGGCAGATCTGCAGCAGAATTACAGTTTCATTTATTAGAGAAAACTAAGTGAACCCTTTGGAATATGAAATATGATCTGATCTTCATCTGAGTCAAACACAGTCTGCTTAAACTAATAACACACAAACAATAAAATACACCTTCTGACCTCATGAGAGATTCACGGCCGGCATGCCAAATACACTGCTGAAGTGAAACAGTTCAGCTCTGGTCTGTGGCTACAGGAAACGTTTGGTTGAGGTTGTTGGAGGAGGGTCAACCAGTTATTAAATCCAAGGGTTCACACACCTTTTCCTCCCCGCACTGTGAATATATGAAAACTGTTTGTGTGGTTTTAGTTTAAGCAGTTTGTCTCTTGTTGGGACTTACGGCCCTTTCACACCTGCCTGGAACACCATGAACAAATAGACTTAGGTCAAAACGAGGCAACCTCGGTCCGGATCAAACGGAACCATGGTTTAGTTGTTTCCAGTGTGAAAACATTTTTGGGATCCGACTATCAGAGCATTTACAGGAAGTTCGGCGGTTCCCGTGTAAACTGGAATCAAACAAATGCACTGAAATAAGGACACAACTATAAATCTGCCATGACAGCTCACCTCTTTGGTCTTGTGTACAGCTAGTAATGCCGTAATAATAACATTATAGTGGCAACGATCTGCGTCTGTTCATCCCTCATTCATTCAGTCATACGAAGCTCCCT